ACCTCGATTGGTTTGTAAAGAAAATTCGCTTTCAAATGGAATAAATAATACTCCTTCCTAAGTATGTTTTTATGTTATACGTTTGTTATACGCCCAATAAAAAAGGTTTTTAATTAAGAACTTAAAGAAGAGTGCTAAACAGTCTTCAACCTTCTCAAGTTGTTACTTCACTATTTGAATCATTAATTTGCAATTAATATTACCCACTAATTTATTTTCTATTTTAGTCTGTTGTTTCTAATTGCTAATTACGCAAAATGCGAATTTATTTTACGAAATTCAGATATAATTTACCCTACCAAATAAATTGCGTAGTTGATTTCTTTTCCGAAGAAAATTATATCTAAATTGCTTTCTTGAGAAGTCTTTATCAAACATAAAATATCTCGTATGGAAAAAAACCACAAATCATAAAGTAAATTACTTAATTCACTTTTCAGTTTTCCTACCGGAAACAGCTTTCAAAACAAATTTTCTTAATAAGAAAAGAAAATTGTTTAATATACACATTAAAAACGTATGGATGTTCCATGCTCTGCTAGACATTCCAGCATCATTAACTTGAGTGTAAGAAGTAAGAAGGACGGAAATTTTCAGCATAATATAAAAACATTTCCCACAAGGGCACACAAGCAGTATCCTCGCTGTGTAATCGAAAGAACATCATTATCAAGGTATCTAGATCAGTTAACGGTTAGAAAAACGGGTTGCTATTGTTGCTAATAATTTAAGAACCTATTGTCAGAAGTAATCGGAGATATCTACTTTACATTGTGCAATAATTAACGTAGTAGATGCCATAATATTGCTTTCATTGAGTGAAGGAGAAATTTGCACTCGCTATTGAACTAAAGAAAAAAATCTCATCTGGATGGTAAGACGTGCCATGGGCGATATCTCAATGAGGTAATCTGGTAATAAACAACAAAAACTACCTGAGCCATCCATATCTGTAGATATGGACGTCTGCAACTTCTACAGGCCAACCAACTCGCATATAATAAATATTTCTGAAATACGTTCTTTTCTTCTTCGTTCAGGCGAGACACTTTAATCTCTGACACCTAGTCATAAAATCTTTGTACTAAACCCTGTTTTTTTTTTCGTTAAACTCCAATGAGTCCTGTGACTCCCTCCAGGTCAACAGTTTTTTCATTGGTAGTTTAGAGAACTCTTCTGGTTCAAGCCTCAAATGACCAGTGTGTTCTCACCTCATATCATTCAGCATATTACAATTGCATAGGATGTGTATGGCAGTCTCTTCTTCCATTTTGCATTTTCTGCACCATGGTTCATTCACCTTACCTACATGGGCGCCGGCAGTTAGCTACACATGTTATGTTTTATATTTTATATTGGTATTGGTTAATTATTGTTCAATGTTTACTCGGATCAGCTAATTAAAAAGGCACTTGAGAGACAACCATATGGAATAAAAATCAACGGGGAACTACATACAGTAATTCTATCAGATAATATTGAAGGTCTTCAAATTCTGCTTGATCGTATTCACGAGTTAGGAGAGGAAATGTGCATTAAAATAATCTCAAACAAAACCAAATTTTTAGTGTTTAGTCGTGACCCACATCCCGATGCAAAGCTTCAATTGAACGGAGTCAGTCAGAGACAAGTTGAGAAAGTTCACAAAATGACATATTTGGGAACTGTGATAACGGACCAACTAGATCCAGACATAGAAATAAAACGTAGAATAGCAATGACTAAAACTACTTTTATGAAAATGAAGTCATTTTTTTGCAATAACCATCTCAGTTTAGAACTAAGGCAAATAATGGTTAAGTGTTATGTCTGGTCTCTACTTTTGTATAGTGCAGAAGTGTGGACGCTAAAAGTATCGATCATGAACAAAATTGAAGCATTGGAAATGTGGGTTCATAGACGAATGCTGAAGATACCTTGGACAGCAAGAAAAACTAATGAAGAAGTACTAAAGAGCGTCAACAAAGACAGAGAACTGCCAAAGGCTGTTAAACATCAAAAAATGTCTTATCTGGGACATATAGTAAGGGGAAGTCGATATAAAATTTTACAATTGATCCTTAAAGGCAAAATAGGGGGCCGTAGAGGTGTAGGAAGAAAACAAGTTTCTTGGTTAAAAAACATTCGTAAATGGACTCAGATACCAAATGCAGGACAATTATTCCATATTACAGAAGATCGAGAAGCCTTCGCAATGGTGATCGCCAACGTCGGATAGTTCTGATATGGTACGCGAAGAAGAAGAATTGGTTAATTACAATTGTTTTGAAATAACGAATTTACTTAATAATTTGTCATATTCTTAAAGATATGTTTAATAATACGTAGCTGAGGGCATCAATAACAAATAGAGAATAATTACAATATAATAATAATAAATATAAAACAAAAGAGAAAAAAATATAGGTTTGCCAAAGATACAAAATGCTAGGATGTGTCGCGTAAAATGTCAACCAAACTCATAAAATTATCTGAAGAAGAAACCGTTAATGTTCCAGATATTATTATTTCTCGCCAATATTATTAACGGGTGCACCAAACGAAAAATAATGTACATTAAAATCTTTGCTGCTATCTAAAGTCTGGTTCAAATTTCATACAGAACCCTACCTAACATATAAATTATTAGTCACCTTAAATATTAAGTAATATACTGTACTTATTTGTACATGACAGGTTTCGTCACACTGTGGTTCTCTCTGATGTGTCTTAATATATGAACACGCAAATGCAAATAACATAAACAAAAAATTAATCGTGACAGATTCTATGTCATCACTACAATTAATCAGGAAAATATACACGCAGCATCTATTAGCTTTACGAATAAAGGAAGAACTAGATAAATTACATTCCCTGCTCTGGGTCCCATGCCATGATGGAATAGAAGGTAAAAGAAGCTATACACGACAAAAATATTCCTATATCACCCCAATCTGTAAGAATGGATCTAAAAAGGTACTTCATAAAGCACCTGTTCGATAGCTGGAACAATAAATGGAAATCTACACCATCAAAGTTTCAAGAGATATAAAATAAAATTGGACCATTACAACCACCCGAGGTATCTAGACGAAAGCAGATAATTATTTCCGACTTAGACATACTCAGTTTTCTCATGAACATTTATTTAAGAAAGGAAAACGCCCAATTTGTGATGAGTGCGATTCACCCCTTACGGTAAAACACGTGTTACGGGAAATGTGCAAAAAGTTCAATCGTCACAGAGTTAAATACCATTTACCAAACAATCTTAAAGACATTTTAAATTTAAAAAACACTATAGATAACCTACTTTTTGTTTTTAAAAGACTTTAATTTACTAAGCGAAGTGTAGTTAACTCTTACCTTTCCGCTACTAACCTTATTAGGTTGAAGCGGGTTTTTTATAAATAAAAAAAGATTTTCTTGCATTTTGTCTGCTAAAGTTTTTGCATCTATTTGGTATAAACGAACAACTTTTAGAAATTCTTCTCACTGATATTTTTTGAATTGCATACCATTTTTGTGTTTTTCATTTAAAATTGTTTTCTTGTGGAAAGTTAAATACTATGTTCATATGGGATTAAGAGACAATTTAATCGTAATGAAAATTACATTATGAAGTAATGTTTGACGTATCGATTTCCACTCCGGATCGTTTTCAAAAAAAGATTATTTTAAAAAATTCTGCAAAAATATATAACCAACACAGTTTTTATAACCTGCTAACTACTTTGTTGGTACAAATAGTACAAGTAGAAAAGTACGAAAGGCTCGTGAAGGATATGTATGAAGGAGCGTACACCAAAGTAAGGACTTGTGTCGGATTGACCAAAGTTTTCCAGTGACGGTTGGTTTGCATCAAGAATCTTCACTGGTTCCCTACCTGTTCAATTTTGTTATGGATGTACTGAAAGAGAACGTAAGGTAGAGGACTCCTTGGTCAATGCTGTTTGCTGACTATATCGTGTTAATAGAGGACAACAAAGAAATGTTAGAGGAGAAGTTGGAGGGTTGGGAACGGGCTATTGAAGAGCGATGATTTAAAGTTAGCACGTCAAAAACGGAGTATATGTGATTGGGAGGAACAGGGACACTAGATCGAGAAATTGCCCATAGGATACAGGCTGGTTAATTTAACTGGAAGCAAATGAGCGGGATATTCTGTGATTGAAAAATCGGGGAAGGACTGACAGGAAAGATATTTAATAGTTTGGTTAGGCCTGCAGTGATTTACGGCGTGTAGAGAAGATTCAGGAAAATAAGATAAAGTTAGCTGAAATAAAAATGTTACGATGGATGTTGAATAAAGCTAGAAGGGAGAAACAGGGTTTTGTCAGAAGTAGAAATGAAAACTATGTGGGACGAAGGATAGAGCTATTAGAAGTTGATAGAAAGAGAAGTATAGAAAAACCGAGAAGAATGTGGAAGGACTTTGTAGTAGAAGACTTAAGGAAGTTTACGTTAAGAAGACACGATGGACAGCAAAGAAGAGTAAGGAACAGCAACCCCTCGAAAGGGAAAACCTGAGGACGAAGTAGAACTTTGTTGGTTATAAATTCTCGCAGAATTGTTTAAAATAATATTTTTTGAAAAACGTAAAGCATTAGTTAAAAATGTAACTTAAACTACAATTAAATTGTGGCTTAATCTTTAACCATTTCAAAATATTTTAACAACGATTTAAATATTCTTCGTAACTAACACTCCCACTGAAATCCGAAGTAAAAGATGCTTACTTTACATGCCAAGAGTGACAATAACCTTCAAGTTCTTTCACTGGTTCAGACAGCATAAATGATGACTTAGCAGACAACAAGAGGTATTTTTCTATAATAATAGGAACAGACACACAAGAAGTAAAGCAGTTTAACCCACTTTTTCTTTATAATTACATTCTTAACCGTTTAAAATATTATTAAGTATCATTTTCAGTGTTTATCCCTTACCTTAAACAATTTTATTAAATAAATAATAAATAATTATCACTATTTTGTATAATTTTGGTTTTCACTTACTTTCTACTTTTTAACGATATCACAGAAAGTTTATGTAGCGCGATGCGATGGCACTTTCGAACGCGTAAAAATCTAGAGGTGTATGTGTGTGTCAAAAAACTTTCACAGCCTGCAGCGAACGGTTTGAACGAGGAACGGAGCGATCGAGTAGGACCTACCTTGGTAAATGCCGCAAGAGGACTGTCCTGTCACCGCGCAAAAACGGTACACCAAGTGGAACTCGGAATTCGTTTTCACCGATAATATATCATACGCGATAGAGTGCACATGTAGTGAACATCTAATTGTTTACGTGTTTTCGATAACCGCGGTCAGAAATAATTCCACAACGTTGTCAGATTAAGGTACCTCCTACGAGATGTACCTCCTAGATGAACTAGAATCAAATTTTGCATATTCCCGATATGTTCTGTAACAGATACTGCTTCGGACACCCCTTCACTTGTTTATCTGCAATTGATGTACATTTTTCCTGTTTATTACGAATAAACTTAAACTGTCTATTAAATATTAAAAAAAAGTTTTCGGTAAGTCTTCATTTTGTCCAAAAGGAACAACCTCAATCTAAACAGCAATACAAATAAAATATATTAAATTTATTACGCTACGGTCACGATATGGACGATATTTCAGACAGTTTCAAAGAAGCCCAAGAGTACACTAAACACTGAATCAACCGAGAAGGTTTAAAAATTAACTTTAAAAAGAACCAGTAGATGACAAACTTAGTCTCCAACAGCAAGGTATTCATTAATGATGCATACATCGAATACGTAGGTAATATCTTATAAATATTTAGGCAACAAACTAGGAATAGGTTGAAATAACCAACCTGCGAAATTAAAAGACGATTAAAATTAGCATGATGGTTTACGACAGACTAGTAAGTACCGTATTTAAAACCAATATACCGATATGTCTAAAAAAAAAAAAAGATGTTTTTAAACAATATCTGCTCCCAATATTGACTTATGGCCCAGAACCTTTACACGGAAAGGAGTTTAAACGAAACAACATCGGTAGCATTGGAGACAAGTGGTGGCTTTCTATTTTTAGCAATGAATGCTAAAGGCTGTACAATTCCCCATTTTATATACTTTTCTTTTGATACAGAATCAAATTTTTGTGCAGTCAAATACTAGAAAAAAATAATGAATTTACTCGTAATATCAGCAATAGTACATTTAGGCCCATAGTTGCGTTAACGCAACACATTGAATGCAATTTTTTTATATTCATACTGAATTTTTCTTAATAAATTGCGGATAGTATTATGTTAAGAAAGATTTAACAATTCAGAAAACAAATTTCCACGCAAAAAAATATAATTCGAAATAGCGTTAAAAATAGTAAAACATCTATATAAATTACTACAAGCAAGGTACATTTTCAAAAAATGCTTTAAAATATTTAGGTATTATTATTTTATCATTTACCAGATATTTTCATAGCTTAGGGACATAAAGTAATAATATTCTAAACGTAAAATTTATTTGTTTTTAGAAAATAATGTCGTTGCAGGACTTTAAATATAGCGTTGCGTTAACGCAACTATGGGACAATAAGAATAATACATAGAAGTTACAAATTTCTTGTGTAATCCTGACTCACGTGATAAACAGGCGGTTTTTGTTATTTTGTCTTACGTATGCTTGGTTTATCAGTCGTATCGAATATCAATACGACTGTTATCGGTAGATACTTTGCCACTGGAACAATACGTGAAAACAGGCTCCTAAATTGTCCGTTGGAGCACATAAAATCCATTAAAAAAAAAAGATCACGGTACTACGGATTGTCGCTCTAATAAAATAAGTGTTGTGCGTTGGAACGATAATTTTGTGGCAACCAATTATGATCCCGTAGAGCCTTTTCTTCCCGTAAAATTATACAAACGCAAGGTAACAAAAGATACCGCTATCCCACAACCCAACATTATAGCTAAATATAATAAATACATGGATGGAGTGGACTTACATTACAATGGAGTGGCTAAAATGGTGGTGGCCGTTATTTATAAACATGTTAGACTCTGCTGTCGTTAATACCTGAAAACTCGTAGAGAATTGTACATGAGGAAAATCCAATTTCACAGTTAGATTTTAGGTCAGAACTTGTGCGAAGCCTTGTTAGTGTTAACAAAAGTAGCACAAAATCTATTAGAGGTCGTGGCTTTAGTTCATCCTTACCATCTACCTCGCGTTTGGATGTGGGCCACATGACCATTTCAGGACTATTTCGAGCTGCGGTCAATAAAGTTAGAATTGCCATGCTAGTAACCAACATCCGTAAGGGATAGGCACCACAAGAAGAAGAAGGGCCACATGATTGAACGCAATAATAAAAACTGGAGAAGGCGTTGTAGGCTATGTAAAAGTACAACTGTTTTCAAGTGTAAAAAATGTAATACACCATTGCATCGACATTGTTTTAAAGACTACCACAAGTGAAAATAAAAATATTTTTATGCTATACATATAGTCCCAATGTTGTGTTAACGCAACATTAAAAAAATGAACGTGTAGTTTTTTTCTTCATGTAGCTTTTAAATTATCTTTATTTGTGTTTAATTAAATATATATTTAATAAAAAATCATTGGTTTTATTATGTTTTCTACAAGTGGTCCTAAATGGGTTAATTGTTAACACTGGTGACGCATAAAGCTATGTATCTAGAAAGCACAACTACAGACAAACGTTCACATACGTTTGAAACACTTTAATATAAATAACAATTTATATTTAACTGCCACCACACTTTCAATCAAATTGCAATAAGTAGGCAGTGTAAAACATCATGGAGAGGCGCAAATGCGACCAGTGTTCACAGGTAAAAGAAAGTGGGAAGAAAATATTGCTGAAGAAGCGCGTATGACCGATGAACATCAAAACATGAGACAATTATATAATCATCCTGTCAACAATCGTCAACCTGTATGCGTCCACTGCTGGACATAGGTCTCTCTAAGCTCTTTAGATCTGTCTCTGTCTTGTGCGGCTTGCATCCAGTTATTGCTTACACGCTTCAGGTCGTCAGTCCATCTAGATGATAGGCGTCCTCTGTTCCGTATTGCTTTTTGTCTTGGTCTCCAATATGTTTTGTCTATCGGTTGTCTGATAATCTGTCGACATGTCCTGTCCAATTCCATTTTAGGGACGCGATTTTTTCGATGACGTCTGTTGTTTTTGTTCTACGACGTATTTCTTCGTTTAAGATTCGGTCTCTCAGAGAGACACCCAACATCTGGCGCTCCATAGCCCCCTGAGTCATATAATATCACTAAACAATTAGCTACCAATCAATTATACAAAGTAATACAGGCGAAGATATACAAATATTTCAGTCTCTAAGTGCAGTCCCACCACTACCAAAAGACCCAATACCAACAAACTGAGAATTAACACCGATAGACCAACAACGCAAGAAATAAAAATGGCAATAGAAACAATTGAAAGTGCACAAATCCGGCTACCCTGACAATATTCCACCAGAGTTGTTAAACGCTTAAAACAGCTTGGAGAATAAATTCCAAAGAATGAAAAGCGAGACTTAAAGATTCCAAAAAATAGTGCCAAAGCTATTGCTAAAACTGGAGAGGAATCACAGTTCTGAATACAATAAACACATTAACAGCAATAATTATAAACAAAGGACTGACAAACCAATGTTAAGGCAGGAACATGCCGGTTTCATGCCAACCGATCCTACATAAGTAGGTCAAATTAATACACTTAGAGTAATAGAAGAAAAGCCACAAAAATTCAAGTGCTTTGTGGACTTTAAGAGAGCCTTCGACACACAAATATCGCAATATGGCAAACCCTAAGGAAAATGAGGATACCAGAAAAATATAATAAATTTCAACAAAGAACTCGTGATACAGAAATCCAACTTCGACACAGGCGTAACCTGTGACCCATTAGCTGTGCTAAACGGAGTAAAACAGGGCTGTGGTTTATCCCCTCTACTATTTCAGAATATACTGGAATTTACTGGGGATTAACAAACAGACTGAAAGATCTAGATTACGCTGATAATATATGCCTCTTATGGTATATATGAAGATGATATAAAATTAAAGAAGGGTGGTTTAAAAATAAACATAAAAATAATATAAAATAAATATAAAAAAAAAACAATAAAAATAAAAGAAATGCGATTTGGCTCCAGAAATTACCAGTATATTGTGATCAAAAACCAGAAAATTAAGGGAGTCATGGAATTTGTATACCGGTTCAGCATAATTGACTGTAACGGTGGTACAGAACGTGATGTGTAGAAAATAATGAATAATAGTCATTATGCGTACAACATGCTTAATAACATGGAAATTCAGGATTTACCCAACTAAAACAAAATTAAAAATCTTCAAAACAAATATAAAGGCTGTATTACTATATGGCTGTGGAAAAACTTGGAAGATATCAGCATTCACAGTACACAAATTACAAGTTTTTATCAATAGAGCGAAACATTCTTCGAATATTTTGACCGAATTGAATCTCGAATGAAAATTTATGGAACTCAACGAAGCAAGAAAATTTAATAAAGCAAATAAGGCGAAGAAAATGGAGATGGCTGAGCCATACACTCCGTAGACCCAGATGACATTACCATGGGAGCGCTGGATTGGAATCTTTAAAGTCGACGGAAAGTAGACAGACCTAAAAAACTTAGGAAAGGACAGAAGTGGATGAAGCAAAAAAATGGGAAAAGCCGGGTTTGAAATTAAAGCACTAGCGAGAAATAGAGTTCGCTAGGAGCAGTTCGTGGAAGCATTATGTTAGTTTTAAGAATCTAGGGACTATATATACCTACACCTCTATCTCTAAAGTAGTGGACAAATTCACGTATTTAGGCTCATCAAAATTTAGGCATATTAGGCTCTATCAAAAAATAAATAATAGGGAAGATAATTATAGTAAAAAGCTGCTACTTTGAACTGAGTATACAAAAAAAAGCAAAAATTGAATGCAGAAATTGAAAATAACGACACAAAAAATCCACATTTGATCAGTGCCGATAGTACAAACATTGCGAATTTAAGCCGCTACTCCGTAAATTGTTATTTATAATTGATATAATCTACTGACACACTTTTGACACACACCAGTCAATGGAAGTAAAATACAAAGTAACTTTATAATTATCTGAACATGCACCGATTGACACCAAAATTTGTCTATGGGTTCTCTTTCCTCTCTACCTCTAAATTAAATATGTGCCGTAGGGTGCT